GGAAATCTGTGAGAGAGGACACTTTTTTGTTGTTGTTCATTGAAATTGACCCCATGAGTTAGTGGTATTCTCACAGGAAGATTTGCAGTCTCTCTTTGAGGAAGGCCTGTCTCTGAAACAGAAGAATCACCTTCTCTGTCCTAGAACAGTCTGTCTGTGTCCCTCCAGAGACTACCTGGTAAGGGAAGTCTAAAGTAGAATCTGCATCTCTAAAGGCAGGGAATGGGGGGCAGGGATGTAGCCCCTTTGTAAACCACCTGCCTGGCATACAAGACCCTGGGTTCCATCCTCAGCATCAAAGGAAGGAAGAAAGGGAGGGAGGAAGGGAGGGAAGAAGAAAGAGAAATAATCTTGGAAAAATGAGGTTCTCTCTTTAAGTGGTAGTTTATATTCTCTCCCTCTTTTTTCTGACCTTGCAAACTGCTTTTCTCTTAGAGCAATGGAATTTTGTGCCCAAGAGCCAAATTCTCCCTTGGGAATGTTGGGGACAGGGGAGAATGATAACTTTTTTTCCCTAGAGGGGAAAGAATTATCTTGTTTTTGAGTTTGGTGGGACTGGTTCCTTCTCAGCTTGGGGAAAATCTGGAGGTGAAGCATCAGTAGCTTCAGTGAAAGGAAAGTCTCTGTGGATACCACAGACTGGCAGAATGCATGCCTGGGAGACTTTGAGACCTCAAGCAAGGCCTTTGCCCTTGGGATCCTTCCCCAAACCCCTAGAATGTGGGGATCACTCCTCCCTGCATTTCTCATCTCTCTTGAAAAAGACCCCTTTGTGGTGCAAGTGCCAGCTCCCTGGTGGTGCGCTGGCACAGAGCTGGGCCCAGCTGGGCAGGAAGCAAGAGGGAGAGACAAGGAGCAATAAAGAGAGGGAGCATAAGGAGACTGATGCTTGGGATCCAAGGGGTTAATTTTTTCTGGCTTTTCCTTAACCCCCAAATTACCAACATCTTACCAGGGCCGGGAAGCAATGAAACAACTAGACAGGACCCATTAAGGAAGGGACTTAGTAATCCCTTGTCTGGTTCTAACGCTTTATCCCCTACTAAGAGAGTCATTCCCCTTCTAGCCCATGCAAACCATAGGGTGGCTTCAGTGATAAAGGAATAAGGTGTTTCATGGCCATGTGTGACACTGTAGATCTAACCTAGTGCCACCTATCTTCTGTAGGGCTTTTCCAGAGGGCCATCATCCAAAGTGGCTCTGCTCTGTCCAGCTGGGCTGTGAACTACCAACCAGTGAAGTATACCAGCCTGCTGGCAGACAAAGTGGGTTGTAATGTACTGGACACTGTGGATATGGTGGACTGTCTTCGGCAAAAGAGCGCCAAGGAGCTGGTAGAGCAGGACATCCAGCCCGCCCGCTACCACGTGGCCTTTGGCCCTGTAATTGATGGTGATGTCATTCCTGATGACCCTGAAATCCTCATGGAACAGGGCGAGTTCCTCAACTATGACATCATGCTAGGTGTCAACCAGGGTGAGGGTCTCAAGTTTGTAGAAGGGGTGGTGGACCCTGAGGATGGTGTCTCTGGCACTGACTTTGACTATTCTGTCTCCAACTTTGTGGACAATCTGTATGGTTACCCTGAGGGTAAGGACACCCTGCGGGAGACCATCAAGTTCATGTACACAGACTGGGCAGACCGTGACAACCCTGAGACCCGTCGTAAAACACTGGTGGCACTCTTCACTGACCACCAGTGGGTGGAGCCCTCTGTGGTGACAGCTGATCTGCATGCCCGATATGGCTCACCTACCTATTTCTACGCCTTCTACCATCACTGCCAGAGCCTCATGAAGCCTGCTTGGTCAGATGCAGCACATGGGGATGAAGTACCCTACGTTTTTGGTGTCCCTATGGTAGGCCCCACTGACCTTTTCCCCTGCAACTTCTCCAAGAATGACGTTATGCTCAGTGCTGTCGTCATGACCTATTGGACCAACTTTGCCAAGACTGGGTAAGGAGAAAAATTTTTTCCCTTTGGAATCTCAGCATGCACTCCCTTCTGCTCCACTATCTAACTTCTTTCATAATCTCCCTTCCTTCAGTATTCCCAAAGTCTTGCTTGTTAACCCTTTCACTTCCCCTTCCCTCCTCCTTTTTTGAGATTTTGTAGCCATTTTCCTTCCTTCAAAAATTTTATTGAAGGGATCAAGGGTGTAGCTCAGTGATAGAGCACCAGCTTCACATGTCCAAGGCCCTTGGTTTAATCCCCAGAACCAATAAAGGAAAAATTGTATTGAGACTCACAATTCTGTTAGCATCACAACTGAGCAGAAGTGAAACTTACTGGCAGAATTGTGGGAATCAAGGTTAACCAGTCAGAGGCTGTGTGAAATGACCATAATTTTTTTTTTACTTTTTATACATTCATAAAGAACCTGTAAAAGCCAGGCACAGTGGCATGTGCCAGTAATCCCAGGTACTCAGGAGGCTGAAGCAGGAGAATCACAAAGTTTGAGGCCAGCCTTGGCAACTTAGTGAGTCTCTGTCTCAAGAGGGGAGAGAGAGGGAATGAGAGAGAGAATTAACAGCCTGTAGAGGGCTCACAAAAGTGGGTAGCTGAAAAGATTAATAAATGCTCAATAGTATGAGAGAAGACAAAATATCTACAGCCTGATCTTAGCAGATAAGTACAGGGAAGAGTGAGACAGTTTCTCTGAAGCCCATTTTGGGCACAAGGAGTTCAAGCCCTGGGGCAAAGGGGGAGTGGACAGAGGGAGGGACCCTGAAAAAGATGGAAATGGTGATAAATTTTGGACTGGGGAAGAGGTTTAGGGGTAGGTGTGAGAAGAAGGAAACTGGACCCTTCCTTATCCAGGTAGAGTGGTGACCCCAGATTTCCATGTGGTGTTTCAGGGATCCCAACAAGCCGGTCCCCCAGGACACCAAGTTCATTCACACCAAGGCCAACCGATTTGAGGAAGTGGCCTGGTCCAAATACAATCCCCGAGACCAGCTCTACCTTCACATCGGGCTGAAACCAAGGGTCCGTGATCATTACCGAGCCACTAAGGTTGCCTTTTGGAAACACCTGGTGCCCCACCTGTACAACCTGCATGACATGTTCCACTATACATCCACAACCACCAAAGTGCCGCCCCCGGATACCACCCACAGCTCCCACATCACCCGCAGGCCCAACGGCAAGACCTGGAGCACCAAGCGGCCAGCCATCTCTCCTGCCTACAGCAATGAGAACGCCCAAGGGTCCTGGAACGGGGACCAGGATGCCGGGCCTCTCCTGGTGGAGAATCCTCGAGACTACTCCACTGAATTAAGTGTGACCATCGCTGTGGGGGCCTCCCTCCTGTTCCTCAATGTTTTGGCTTTTGCTGCCCTCTACTACCGGAAGGACAAACGGCGCCAGGAGCCTCTGAGGCAGCCTAGCCCCCAGAGGGGAGCTGGAGCCCCTGAATTGGGAGCTGCTCCTGAGGAGGAGCTGGCAGCATTACAGCTCGGACCCACTCACCATGAGTGTGAGGCTGGTCCCCCCCATGACACACTGCGCCTCACTGCATTGCCCGACTATACCCTGACCCTGCGGCGCTCCCCCGATGACATCCCACTCATGACCCCCAACACCATCACTATGATTCCCAACTCCCTGGTAGGGCTGCAGACATTGCACCCCTATAACACCTTTGCTGCAGGGTTTAACAGTACTGGGCTGCCCCACTCACATTCCACTACCCGGGTATAGCTCCAACCCAGAGCACAGCTCATCTCCCAGCTCCCTCCCTTCCAGATCCACAAACACATGCACATGTGCATGTGCGCACGCACACGCACACACACAACATACACACACACACATACACACACATATATACATATGTATACGCACGCACCCACACCCTACAGCAGACCCATCTGCACAAACATAGACAGATGTGGACATGCACCCGCATGTACAAAAACACAAATACTGAAGTAAACCTGGACAAACCCTGCAAATGGGGACACAAATGAGTCCTTGGTAAACCAAGGATCCATGAAACAGCAGCTGAAGCCAGCTCCCTGAGCCTGACCACAGACACTCCTGGGGGGCCTGAAAGCAACAGCTGGACACCCCCTTGGTGCTCGCCTTTGGCCTCTCTTGGAACTGCACCAACGACCAACTCCAGACTTGGGAGCTTTAAAGAGCAGAGTAGCTCTTCCTCCCCCAGACTTGGTCTTTTTTCTGGGTCTTGTTTTTGTTGATTTTTTTTTAATTTTTGGAACAAATGCTTTTCCAACCCATGAGTGCTAAGAGGCTCTGGAAGGGAGGGTTCCAGGCTCAGATCTTTCTGGTTTTGGAACCCCCAGTGCTCACACAATCAGACCAAGGAACAGGACTCCCAAGAAAGGAACAGATTTGAGCACAACCATGGGGTGAATGGAGGAAGGGGCTAATGATGGATGGGGCTGGAGGGCCATTGAAGAGAGATTTCCAATCTTTTCTGTGTCCCTGTGGAGGGATGCAGATCCTGCAGGGTGACCTGTTTCCCCTGAAGGCAAACAGCATTGACCTGGCTAGACCAGGGGACCCTAGGTTTGGCAAACAAGGTACTGTGGAGGCCATGTCATTATTACCCCCTCCCCACCCCACCCCCCGGGTATATAATCTGGGTTCTGCCTCTGCCCTTGGGGAAATGCTATCAGAAATTCACCCCATTTTCTTTACAGTCTTTTGTGTCTGTCATTTCTCTTTCAAAAAGGCGGTGTTTTTTGTTGTTGTTGGCTTTTTTTTTTTTTTAAAGAAAAGTTCTTAAAACACTAACGGAAACCCATGGAGTTTGTCCTTTGTAAAAATTTTAAACACAGTGTCTTGATATAAAAATAAAAAATCCAGTTAGCACTCCCAACCTGCCTCCCTTGCACAGGCCTTGCCCCAACAGACCTCGGGGCAGGGTGCCCCTGCGGGCTAGAAATCAGGCAATCAGGCAGCCTCCATCAGCCTCCCCTACCTTAAGCTGATACAAGTCTGGGCTGCACTCTGCTGGCCCCCTGCACAAAGACCTCTCTGATCTTAATCAGGTTGCTGTCCCCATTCCCCTGCCCCCCAGCACTCTGGGTTCTTGCAGCTGAAGCCTCCTCTGAGCACCTTGGGCCTCCTAATGAAACAGCAAAAATAATACTTCCTTCCTTCTCTGTGCCACCACCACTGCTGCTGCTGCTACCACCGCCTCCTCCTCCTCCTCTTCTTCCACCTCCTTCTCTGCTGCCATCACCACCAACGCTACCACCCTGCCCTCATCTTGGACTGGGGGCTAGGAGGAGGTTTGACCTCTAACATGCTAAAGTTTTCTTGTATCCAAATCCAGTACGGCATCAGCTATGTGGACTCCCTGGCCTTGGGTGATGTCAGAGCAGGTTCCTTCTCCTTCCCTAGGGATACTTGTTTCCTGTTCTGTGAAGTAGAATTAGAGAAGTTACTGGGGTCCTGAGAATGATTTCTCTACAGGATTGTGATCAGTGAGCCCCCTGACAACTCCAGGGGACAGATTCAGTGAGGCGCCACAGGGTTAGCATTATAGGATTTCACATGATTCTCAGTGACTTGAAGAACTGAATGGGGAGGCTGCTCATCAAGTTTGACATTGGGCAGGGTTGCCAATAGCTCAGAAATCAGGAATAGAATTCTTAAAATTGACCCTGACAAAATGAGGGAGATGAACCATCACAGCCAGAATGATGTTCAGAGGGGATGAACACAAGTTAGCATGCACAGAGACCAAAACCCAGAACTAATATACTAATATGGCACATAGTACAAGAGAGATTGGCAATGATTAACTTGACAGATGTATAGATTTTAAAAAAAGAACAATGGGAAAGAGGGTGTACAAGTTGAATGAGTCCACAGTTGTAGAACTGGTTTTCTCCCTTTTTCACCCCTTCTTCCCTCCCTTCTTTCCTTTCTTTTTTTCCAAAACTAATGGGGAATACTAGTATAAAGTAACAAAAATAGAGCATGGAGGAGCTGGAAGGTAATCAGAGTGTATCAGAACTAGAAGTAATCCCAGAGTTATCTAGTCCAATCCACCTATTTTATAATTGGGCAAATGGGTCCCCAAAAAACCCATCTTAGTTAGTGGTAGAAACAGAGCTGGAAGACAACCCAATAACAGATGACCCTCCCTACAGTCCTGCTCCACTTGTTCCTTTCTACCAGCCATTGGTTATATCTTCCAAAGCATTAATGGATCTGCCCTTGGTGAGTACATTTTTAACATATGTGGAAAAGTAGAGAGGATTTGGAGAAGAACAAAAGCAATGTGCCAAAGAACTTTTTTTTTCTTTTTTAAGCTAGAAAAAAAAAAGAAAGGTAACATCCAACGAGCACAACTAGACTACTAAGCCATCTTCAATGACAGGATAGAGATGTGTTCTCTCATGACCTGTGTTCCCCATTTCTTCTGAGAGTGATAGAGAAGAAAATTAGATTAAGTAAACCCAAGGAAAGACTTTGCTATGCATAGGAAGTAATTATGGGCACCCAGTAAATTCCCAATAACAGTTGACAAATGGAATGAATGGCTACTGAGGAAAGTATTGATATCCTTCATCTTTCTGAGAGCATAGGGCTGGAGTACATCACCTTTTGAGATAAATTCAGAGTATTTATTTTTTGCTCCATTTCAGATACTTCCAAATGGGGCCTCCCATTTTGGTGTGTGTGTGTGTGTGTGTGTGTGTGTGTGTACACACACACACACACACACGCACGTGCACAAGTGCCTCCAAGTAGGAGGCTATCTATTTTGGGATGATTTAGACATTGCTTCTCTTCTCATCATCTCAAGGTGCCATAGCAAACCCAGATCCAATTCTATTAGGAACCTGTCAGGGAGAGATTGTAGTTGGTCTTCACACCTTTGAAAGGCCTGAATAAAGGAGGTAACCTTCAGGACAGGCAGGAGATTTCAAGCTTATTGACAGTCAGTTCTGTGCTCATGTAGCTTGAGATTCTTGGCCCCATTGCTGACCAACGGCATTGCCCAACCAAAAAGCACAGATCTTTGAAGAGAAGATTAGGATATACTTGGATTTTATTCCACATTGCAAAGATCATTAGTGCCTAGATTAGATCCAGTCCACATCTCTAGGTTTATCTGATTTCTATTTTAGTCCTTTAGGGAACTGGACACAGCTATCTTGGGATATGAATTAGTGGTGTATGTGAAGGATCAGGAGTTGGTCACTGTGGAAATCTCCACAGAAGTATGGTAACCAGGACTGTAGGCCTGGCCCTGTGCTGGTTTATATATACTGTGAGGCATGGAAGATACCCACTGTGGGGTGCATACTATTAGGAAGACAAAGCTGAGCCATGATAAAATGAATGAAATGTATAATTTAGTATGTGACTTCAATTGTACAGTAAAGATTAAAAGGACTGGAGAAATTGTACGAAATGCTATGGTCGGATATAAGTGGGTAGAGTAGTGGGCATTCCAAATTGAGAAATAAAACCTCAACCAGAGCATGGAGATGAGATGGTCTGGGCATACTTGAGGAACAGTGAAGGGACTGGCCTGACCAAAGCAGAGGGTTTGAATTTAATGATAGGAATCAGATTGGCAAGTCATGTTGTGGAAGTCTTCATAACAGAAGAGAGTTTGGGTGTTACTGAATAAACAATGGGATGCCCTGACTGGATGCTTTTGCTAATGAGAAAATAAAGCCTTCTCAGCCCCACTTTGCTCTTTCTGTTCTCCAAGGAGAAGGATTTTCAGAATAGAAAGGACAAGATGAACACCAGAGACAAGCTCCTGAAGACAGTCTCATCCCAGGGTGCCATGAGCTGCCCTGAGAAACTCCAGCTCAGAGTCTAGGTCAATAACTGCCCTGACCATTTTGAGGACTCACAGCTCAACTGCAGGACAAATGGTGGTGGCTTTACAAACCCCAGGGAGAATGGAAATGATGCATGCTACTGCCTAGAGATGAGCAAACATGGCCCCCACCATTTTGCAGGTAGGAAAAGGTAAATTCCACAAATTTATAGATCAATAAGTGTGATATTAATCAAGGGCAAGATTCTCAGACAAATGATTAAAAGAAGGTTGGTGAGCACTTAGAAAAGAAAGTGAAGATCACTCAGCTCCTGGACTTAGGGGAAAAAATTCCCACTCAATTCATTTCCTATGATAGGGAGATTGGACAGGTAGAAGAGTGGAAAGCTATACCCACAATGTATTTGGAATTCAACAAAACATTCTCTCAATACTCTTGGGACAATATAGACAAAATGCAGGGTGGGTAGAAGTAAAAATTGATGGACTTTTAACTGGTTAAGTGACTACATGCAAAAGAATTCTGTTTGGGGCTAGGGATATAGCTCAGTTTGTAGAGTACCTGCCTTGCATGTACAAGGCCCTGGGTTCAATCCCCAGCACCACACAAAACAAAATGAAACAAAAGGTTCTGTTTTAATGTCACCAGATCAGACTTATAAATTACACAAAACTGGTAAAGTCCCTTATTTGAATTTCAAAATGTAACAGTATGAGTATAGGATGTGGCCTAAAGGATTTTTAGAGAAAATGAAAGCTCATCATGAGTTGAGTCAAATGGATGGTTTGGTTGCTACAAAAAGTATTGTGACCTTGGACTATATTAATAAGTCAGGATAAAGGAGGTGATCACCTGTGCTACTCTGTACTGGTCAGGCCACACCTGATGCCCCCTGTTCGTTCAGTTATGAGCACCAGACTTCATGGGGGATATTACCAAAAATATACTCAGAATAGTGGTGATGATAGTGAGGGGGCTGGAGAATCCCAGGGAAAATTTGTCTACTGTTGGCAAATCGTTTCTGGGTTCATGGGGAAGAGGAAGCTGTAGTTTTGTTCTGTGTGACTCCAAAGGCTCTGAGATCTAATAGATGGAAGTTATAGGAAAGCAGATTTGGATCAACATAAGTTGCTCTTTTTCTTTTCTTTTTTATAATGAGAAATTGTAATAAAAGTTTCAACTCATGATTCCAGCCTCTTGAAGTCCTTTAAAATTTATTACCAACAGTTTCAAAAGCAGAAGAAAAAATGTCCTATGGCGGGGTGCAGCTCAGTGATGGAGTGCTTGCTTGCCTGGCATGTGTGAGACCCTGGGTTCCATCCCCAGCACTGCAGAAAACAACAAAAATGTCCTTACCCCAACCCTAACATAAAACCACTTGTTGGGTTTAGAAGGGACTTTCTAAAGATTAGTAGTACTTTGAAATTAGAGTGAAATGACCCAAATGGTAAGCAGATGCCTATCACCAGAGATAGTCAAGCAGTGACTGGACAACCACTCCAGGTAGATGATGCAAAGGTGATAGAAGTGTCCGATAAAAAACTGAACCAGATGACCTTTAGGATTACTGAGATTCTATGACATTTGAGCTGGAAGGTCTCATGGTAAAGTATTCAGGAAAATATTTCTGGGGCATAGGTGTAAGGAGGACTGGAGGAGGGGAGATTGGAAATAGAGATAGTAACTAGTTAAGAGGCACCCGCTCTGAGGGCTCCAACTATTTCACCTCCAGGCCCCTTACCACCTGAATTTCAAAATTATGGTATCCAAAGCAGCTTTACTGGTTGCCTAGTTCCCTACCCTTATGTTCCAAAGCTTGATTGCCTTATGCAACCTCTTTGCCAAGTAGTTATCTTGTTTCTGCTTAAATAACTCCAATGACGGGAAAATCTCATCTTTTCAGGGTAGACCATTGCATGCTAGATCATCTCAAACTATAATGAAGTTCTTCCTTAGGTTCTGTCAAAGTCCATTTTCCCGTAGCGCCCACCCTTTGCACCTAATCACTAAAGCAAAACAAAGGAAATCCCTCTTCTATATGTCTGAAAACTGAATCCTGAACCACCACCATCAACCTGGTGATTCCTTCACCAGGTTAAACAGCTCCAAGAGTTCGTTCACAATTTTTAAGTCCTGTCACACTCCTGGTCTCTCTCTTTAGTACTTGCTCCAGGCTGCTAATGTCTCTGTTTGTGTCTAGTATCAAAGGCTAAAGACAATCCTCTGCTGTGGTCTAATGAGCAGAGCATAAAGCAGAACTGTAATTTCCCTCCATTCTAGACCCGAACATATTAGCATTTGGTGCAGCTGCTGTCAAAACTAATGAGCTCGTAGTCACCTCAAACACCTGAAACCTTTTCATACAGATTGTTAGGAAGTTAAGCATTTGGTTTCTACGAACTTGGCTCTGAAACTTTACATTTCATCTCCCTGGTTCATTATGGCTTCTTGGGATCTTTCTGAGACCAGGCTCATATCCTTTACAAATTTGATCAGCATGCCATCAATGTCCTAGTCCAAGTCAATAATTACATTATTGGACAGGCCAGTGGCCACCCTCCATGCTGACAAAGATCCATTAGTTACCAGCTGTGAATACACCTCACTGTCCTGTCTTTACTCCATATTTTCTTCTCTTATCCACAAGGACATCTCACACCAGACATACTTAAAAAAAATAAGATTGTGTTCTGAAATCCTCTTTGGAAACAGCAGTGAGGAGAAGAAGGGAACAGGAATGAAAGGAGGGGAGTTTGGTCTTTAGATCTTCTCCTCCCTCCTTCCCAGTACCAGGATGAGCCTTCCTGGCTTCCATCTTCAAGAAGGAACATCCAAACAACAACTCAGGTACAGAAAGTTGAAAGAACTGGATTTAGGGACAGAAAAACCTGCATTCTGATCCTTCTCTGCCTCTTCCTAGCTATAGGAGCCTGACAAGTTGCTTAACTTGTCAGTCTGTTCATCTGTAAAACAGAGATATAAGACCTAGCTAATAGGGTTGCTGTGAGGATTAAATGAGAAAAAGTATGAGAATGTGCTTTGCAAATTATTAAGTACTATGCAAATGTAAGGTATTATGATGATGATTTATTGGGCACCTACTGTGTTCATTGAATAGGATATAAAAAGATAAATAAGGCACAATCCTTGCCCTCCCTTGGGCTCACAATTTTGTAGGGAAGATAGATTCACAAATAACCATAATATAAAGTAGAAGAACAGGATGAATGGCACACATTGTAATGGTCATTTAGAAGAGCAGGGTGGTTCCTCAGATTGGAGGATGCTAAAAATGGCTTCCCGGCATTTTATCTATGCCCCCCAAAATAGGACAGATCTGAAGAAAGAAATGGCTGCGAGAACATAGCATTCCAGGTGGAAGAGTCTAGCAATGGGGATTTATGAAGCATATCTGAGCCACCAGAAGCAGTCATGTTTGACTAGAAGAGGCAATGAGGCTGGTCAGCCACACCACTTTTAGACAAGGTCATTCTTAGCATGCCTATGAATTTGGGCAGAACCTCCTAGGTCTCATATCTGGGT